AAAGAGTAGAGAATCATCATCATGTACTGACTAAGACCCTTCCCTTCCCCTAGTACTATTCCCGGAAGAAAAATCCGCATACATGAACTAATCAATGCCGCATGTCTGAATAAGAGGTATTCAATGAATTGCTCTCAGAATGTGTAACCTATTTTGGAGTGGAAATTATCCGCAACCACATTTATCGTTGACTATTGCGAATGACCCTCCCCTCCCTGCACACACAATTGTTCGGGATTAACGGCCCAATGCAGCTTTCACAACCAATAATCCTGCACTATCATGAAACGGTTTCGGGTGCTATCTTTCGGGCTACATGTTTGATTGATTGACTCGCAAATTGTCAAACAGAATGCATCACATCTGGATCTGAAAAACCGTAAAGGAGACGCACTCTTCACGACTCGCTCAGAGATATTCACAAGGCCGTACCGCGTGAGTGCGTGTGTGTGAGACGGTGGAACCAGACGAACGAACAGCGGCTCCAACCGATGCAAAACGAAACACCTCCGGATGAAGCAGACTATCCGTGAGTGAGGATAGACCGGGCGTGACGAGCGCACTCACCTGGATTGGATCTGATCGATGGCACTGATTGTGTCCAAATCGCGCTTGACCTCATTGATAGACTGAGCCAATTCTTTCATCGCTTCATGCGCTTTGATCAGTCCCGGACGCTCCGGATGCTCCACAGGGGTCAGTTTGCACAGTTGCTAACGAAATAGAGGCGATGAGGGGGGAGGCGGATTACACAACGCATATTACAGATCTTATGGATATTACATAGTGAAGATATTTTTGACCAGGAAAGAAACGATTTGTGTTGTCCGGCATCAGTGCATGGATTCAAGCGATTAAGTCATAATCATTTGTGAGTAGTGGTGTGCGATAATTGATATTTATTGATTTGAACTGACTATCCTTCGGACTTCACCTTCGCACATAATCCGCGGTTCATCAAATCAATCATACATTCAAAAGCACTATGGACTCGAGTTTCGCTCTTATTAGAGCTTATCAGTAGTGCATATCCACCGTCCCGTCCGGGATTTGAACTCCGGAAGGCGTGTGAGTTACCCATGTGCCAACCAGCTCATATCATGGCTGAACCAAATCGCTGCTTCATGTTTGTTCAGGTGTCGTCTTCAGTGATAGTCAGTCAGTTCATGGTTGGCCCGACGGCAACGATGGGAGACACAGACGACAATCTGTTAACTCCAATCAAAAGCCTCCCACCAAGTCAGGACTTTCACGAAGGTTATGGGTGGATGTACATTACTGATGAGCTCTAATAAGAGCAAAAATCGAGTCATGCTTCCGGGTGTATGGTTAAATCGATGGACTGAGGATTGTGCATGAAGGTGAAGTCCGAAGGATATTCAGTTCAAATCAATGGTGTTGTGATGCACTAATCACACGTGTGGGTAGTTTGCGCGCGCACACAGCGAAGCGGGTGTTGGATCCCCACGGCAGCCGCGAGTCGATTAGAGGATTTCTTTTTGCAACTACACTAGAGACAAACAGATTATCAGGCGGCTAGCGATCACCTATGAAGAGACAATATCGAAAATACGAACCGATTGTTGCAAATTAGACGTTTCGTTCCGCGCACTCTCATTCACCCCATTTCCGATGCTGTTCTTCAAATAAATAACTCTTCTCCTCCCGGCACTGTGTTGTGGATGTACAACAGTGATATCAGTTTTAGATGGAACCTACCATTACCTATGCACTTTCGTGCACCGGTTTTGGTTGCCCGTTTGGAGGAACCAGTAGGAGAAAGACAAGAAAAGGTTGAAGGAGTAGAGTCGAATAGAAAATGGAGAATTTCAGTGGACTAAGGTTGCAAAGAAACTGAGTGAATGCAAGAACGTCACTGTCTCTAACCATCGGTTACAATCATCCCAAGATCCCCGTCCAGAGAGCCTAACGTGATCGAGTCTGCCGGTTAGAGTACTCGATCACAATGGTAGATGGTTAACTACCGTGCTCGGTTCAAGTCTCATCCCATTCATAGTTCGGTGGGGTGAGAACAATCTAATAAGTCATTTGTCTATTTGTTGGGTATGATAAGAAACATCCGACGGCGCGCGCGTGCACACACACACAGCAATATTAATTCTCATGACAAAATGTGCACCCATGGCGAGATCCCCGGGGCAGGATGACAATCGTCAGGTAAATCGATGGTCGCGTTTCCCGGTCCACAATCGATTTGATAATGTAACAGCTTTGGAATGTTTAATCAAAATGGATGATGAATGCGCATGTTCCACAAAAATGAAGAAGAAAAAAAGATCGAATATTTGACTACGATTAAACGAGACGAGGTGTTTTACTTGTGTGTGCCTGTGATGCCACCCATTTTCGTGATCACGATGTTTTTTTCGAGCATGTGTTCGCGTATGAAGGTCACTGTGTTTTGTTTTGTACATGGAACATCGATGGACTTGAAAGATGGTGGAAGGAGTGTGTGTGTGTGTGTTCAGAATAGACTATCTCAAATCATCCGTCTCCGGTATACACCTATCGTGTCAATAATTGTAACCTCGGGAGAACCATCATAAATCGATTGAAGATGAACACGAAATGTGAACGGGACAGTGAGTGAGACGTCATGCGGACGGGACAGAGAAAGTGAACCTACGGTAACATGTTCATGTTCGAATATGAAACCAAGCAGTATAGCCAACTGACTAGGTTAGGCATACGTCACCAACAACGAGAAACTAGAACACTGTTCGGTGTAGTTCATTTAGGTACGGTTTAATTTTCATGCATACATCTAAATCTGATGATATGCGGTTGTCCATTACGGATTGAATGTATACCGCACCAGTTCTACCGATGCTGCTGGTTTGCGATGCGGAGACAAGATTGTTACGGGCGAACGATCCCGTCAAACATTTGTTATTTAATCGTGAACGAGTCCGATGCAAAACGGGAATTGCAATACCGAGGCCCGAGCGAAAGAGAGGAGACTATTCGGAAGTCGTAGTTTGGAACTAGTGTTTGAACCACGTAGCCATAGAAAGCTGTTTTCTTCTCATGGAGTGCGTGACGAAAGTCACTGGTTAGGCTATCTCGTCGTCCGATGTTTGTTTTTGCAAACGGCTTATCTTCTGATCAGGACAAGACCTGAGCAGAGAACTAACAGTGTATGCTGCGGGAGTTTGACCAGTTCTGCGACACGGCGGAGAAACCTGGCCATTAAGGAGGCAGAATAAAGACAGACTATCGGTGTTTGGACATCACTGTCCACGCAGCAGTGCACGAATCTGTTTGGAAAACCGGACAAGTTTAGGCACAGAGTTTTAGGTAATCGCGGTCGTCCAATGAAGCAAGTGGTCGACCTCCATAGATTACGTTGTTTGGGGCATGTGTTACGCATGTCACCAGATAGGTTTCCACGGTGAGCGACGTTTTCCGAGGTAGGTAGTGGGTGGAATAAAGCCAAGACCTGGCATGAGGGTATGATAACCCAAACCAGGAGTCTGCGTTGCATTGATCCCGTTAGGATCTCTGGACGGCGACCGCGGGATGATGGTAACCGATGGTTAGAGACACTGAGTGATATGGCTGAGTTTTGTTCGTGCATCCACTCAATTTCTTTGCAATCTTAGTCCACTGAAATCCTTTACTTTCAACTTTCCTGTCTTTCTCCTTCTGTTCATTGAAACAGGCAACCAAAACCGGTGCACGATAGTGCATGGCTAACGGTTGTTCAAAATGAACTGAACTGAGGGAACTTATACCCAAATCAAGCAATTCGGATACGGATTCCGGTTGAGAATTTTGTGATGAAAGGTTAGAGGCTCAGAGTGATATGGTCAGGGGGGGGGGGGGGGNGGGGCGGCGGTTTCGATCCAAAACCGTCCGGTTAACAAGACACAGGCCGAGGATCATGATAATTGGATAAGCAAACGTTGGAGGTACATACACACACACACAATCTCTCTCAAACACGGACCAACTGATATTTAGAACATTACGTGCACCTTAAATGCATACACCATTCCATACATTCCCAACTGTACTATAAGCAATGATCGTCTGCAGATCATATTGAACTATATATATATATACACACACACACACACACACAAGAGTGGAGTAAACGATTAGATCTATGGTGGACATTAATACATGATTAGCTCTCAAAATCATGCGTGTGCGCCAGTGCGCGCTTGGATAGAACAACTCTTCAGGCAAAACGCCCGCATTCCGGAGAATACACAGCTATTGGAAAAGTCACCATGCCCCGGATATTCGAAACTGGTCGGAGCTGGCTGTGCTTTAGGAAAACAAAAAAAAACATAATTGGGGCGGGGGGGGGTGAACCGTGCGCGCGTGATTGCATTCCGACGGTTGATCAATTTCGATGTCCGAGTATGTGCCACCTCGGACCGGTGCAAGCACCATTATTCTCGAATTCAACAAAGTACTAGCCAAGAATCTATGGTAGATTATTTGCAGTTGGTCTAAGCGCAAAAATAACAGGTGCCTCAAACATTCCGAACCCCGGGAACGGTGCAATAAGGTTGTCGCTCGTAACTACTTAGTAACAATCCGCCAAATTGCAGTGCAACGATTCCCGTACATCCGTGGGAAGAAATACGACAGATAGTTCGCTAAACAAAACAAAATACGGAGTCGGTTGCTTTAACAACCATTAACCATGCACTTTCGTGCGCCGGTTTAGGTTGCTGTCTTTTGGCTACCCACTTGGATGAGGCAGGAGGAGAAAGACAAGCAAGTTAAGAGTAGAGCCGAGGAGAAAGTGGAGAATTTCAGTGGACTGAGGTTGCAAAGAAATTGAGTAGATGCACGAACGCCAGTGTTTACGATTCCCAATCATATCACTCGGTATCTCTAACCGTCGGTTACCATGGTCTCGGAGTCCCCATGCTGGAGGCCCAACGGAACCTATGTGACCCAGACTCCTAGTTAGGGTTTTCATACCCTCATGTCAGGGCTTTATTCCACCCACTACCTGCCTGGGCGAACATGGCTCGCCGTGAAAACCTATCTGGTGACATGCGTAACACATGCCCCAACTACCGTAATCTACGGAGATCAACCATTTGCTCCAGTGGGCGACCGCATTTATCTAAAACTCTGCGCCTAACCTCAGTATTACTTGTTTGGTTTTCCCACTAGATTCATACAATGTTTTATAGACAGCGGTGTTCATACACCGACAGTCTATCTTTATCCTCTTTCCTTAATGGCCAGGTTTCTGCACCGTATACCAGAACTGGTCGAACTGCCGTAGCATACACTCGACCCTTCACAGACAGTCGGATGTCGCGACGGCGCCAATAATGTCTCAAGTTGGCAAATGCTAACCGAGCCTTCGGTATGCTAGCTGACACTTCATCCGTGATGCGTCCACCGGGTGAGATGTAGCTACCTAAATAACAAAACTTATCCACTTGTTCGCTTTAACAGAAAAGCATAGATTTGGGTTAATCCCCTTTTGAGCAGTCCAGAACGATACACGTTGTTCTAAAACAACTACTAAACAGAGGGCGAATATGCCAAGAGAATCGGTTCGCAATCAAATCGTCACAAATCCAAACAAAAGTGAGCCACACGAGAACAAGGATCTCGTTTTAGCATATCACTAATCACTTTAGATAGCTCCAAACCAGATTTTCGAACTCATTCATGTGATCCGGATCACTGTCACTAGCGTACAGCAGATCTACTACTGGCACCACCACCATCGCCGATTGTAGCGGTGAGGGTGTCCCGCAGTTTTCCGGTTTAGTATGTCAGTCGACTAGGGATTCTATGTCACTTGATACTCGAACTATGGAAGATAGAACGACAAGTACCTATACCGGACCCGCATAGATGGACACTCTACGACACCATACGGTGAACAAGAATGCGATTCCACACAAAATTTTCTCGGGAGAGACAGACGCATGCTTTTTTTACTTTTGAGCGACTAACCCCTACGGGAGGATAAATCGGTTTATTGGATGTCTATAATAATGGCAGTCGACGCGTGCCGATCGGTGGAAAGGTTGGCGCAGTGAGACCCAGTTTTGGTTCCAGTTACGAATTCCAGTAATTGGAAATCCGCCTAAATCGTACTGCTCCAGGTCTACAGTTGACTACCAAGCCGGCAACGCTATCTACGGCAAGATGCAAGGACTACAGTCTGCCGCGAGAGTTGAGTGTCGGGTCTCCGCGGCCAAACCACTGAACTTATCGTTGATCGAGCAGCTCCGTGGAACCTCATCATTGGAAACCCGAGCTCTCCAAATTTACTTTTTAGATGCGGTGTAAGCACCAATTATCACAGACTTTGAGATTTCTTGTATCTTGTAATGTTAGTGGTCTTGTTTCACAATCATATGTGAGGATGGAGCGGATGGACAAACCCAAAGCTTAGGCTTATTTCGCATCGGTTCTCCAAAAGGTCTGAACAGTTGCAGGAGTTGCTATTCTAGCTCCATCTACGAGAAGTTGGATTTTTTTCTTTTAACCTGACCGTTTGATCTGATTGTAGANGGGGGGGGGGCACTTGTAACGCGAAAGTCACGAGAATGTCAAATTGGAAAAATAATGATCTAGATATTCAAGAACAATGATTCTTCAGATGGGAGATTAATTTCACGGAGTGGTGTCAGCGAATCGATCAATACTGGGTATAAGAACAGTTGGATATCTGAAAATACGTGCCAAAACTCACCTCAAGTAGTAAATGGTATTTGAGAACACGCTGAATTGGGACAGTGAGTAGCTCCGTCAGATGGAATTTATTGTACTTTTCCGAATTTAACTGGCAGGTCTAGAAAAACCGAAGGTGAAGAGAGGAGGGAAGGAGTAGAA